CTCTGTTACAATTCTTAGATTATTAAAAAAGAAATCTACTCTGGTTCTTTCATGTTGTAATGTGTGGCATCTCAAGCTTCGCGGGATTTATTTCGGAATGAAATGTTGTTTACTTTTATTGGCATGCCTGCTTCGCTTTAACTTGCTCTGGCACTGAAGTTTGGGAGTTCATTATGTTTCTTGCAATGGCTTTCGAGAGCATACAGGTAACAAGCCTCATTCATTAAAGACATTGTACGCACACATGAACCATGTTGATGATGCCTTTTTATTTACTTCCACACATTTAAGGTGGATACACTGCGTTACCACCATAGTAAATTGTTCCTGTAGTATCTGAGCTTGTTATCTACAGTATGGTTAAGGTAGGGAAAGATTGAGATGAAGGTGAAGCTGGATATATTGTTGATTGAAGAGTTTAATTGGAGTTTATATAGTTCAGGGTGGGCTTTGTCCTTACTGATAGCACTATCAGAACACTAGGCGGATATGACATACGTGATGACTCATCATGCAACTCTATTGTAGCTGGTATTTAAAGATGACAAAAAATGTAAAACCTTAAGAAAGTAATTGACAAATTGATCCGCAAAAATTCGTTGTTTCTAATAACTACATTTTAAGGCACTCGTTTTTCTTCTATAATTTCCCCAAACTAAATGACTTGTGACAAATATTTATATTATCTTTTACATTTTTCTTTTTCTGTATATAAGTGTGAAATGACAAAAAACAATTCAGAAATCATTGTGGAAATATAATTTGACATTTCCAAAGCATGGCGGTATCAACTTATTCAGAGCTGTGACATTCATGAGCATATCCACCGGTTACCTGACTCTGCACACATTCAGCAGTGTATGAGTGTAATTTAATCAGTGTTTGTAGAGTATTCTGGGAATTCTCGGACAGGATGGCCATTCTGTGATAAGGCTTTCACATTTGGTTGTAGCCAGGAGGCTGCCGAGTCTGGTGGGAACTATAATAAGTCTCTCTCCACCCGTCTCTATCACCCTCTTTCAAGTGAGTTACTGATCCACCTCTGGACAGAAATCGTATGTTTATTTTATTTTCTTTCTCACTGCAAACTTTTTTGTGGAAAATTGAATTTGATGCCCAGGGGCAGGATGGAAAATTGGGCAAAATAGCTTATTTTCCTTCCATCCAACCTTTTACTCTTTCTAATGAATGGCAAAATAAGATATCTGTGGGAGGTGCTATTCTGTGCTTGAAAGCGAGCCTTGCAATGCAGAACTCATCAATTCATGTTTACAGTGTGAGTTTGAATATTGAATAGTGTGTCTGACTGCAGAACACGTACCTATATCTCTCTGATAGGGTGGAATTGCGAGTATCACTCTTCACCATTATGTAAAACCTGTGGCATGTGATCAAAGAAATCAAACATCATGAAGTGTTTTCAGATTTTACGACAGCTCATGTTCAGTGACTGATTTGTTCGAACCAGCAGTCAAAGATCATTAAAACATACCAGAGATGTCTGAAAGTGTGTGTTATTTAAAGCATAAACTGTAGCTTGCTCAAAAAGGAAACCTCATAGATACAACCACAAAGCCCCTCATTATTAAACAGGGCAAGGCTAAATTTGGAACCACAGCCTGGCAATTCTGAAAGTCTCCACGTTTCACTGATGTGTCTCTGATGATTACCATTTAATCAGCTGCAAATGCTCTTAATTACAAGATTAGTCTCCTACCAATTAGCCAACATGCTAATGGTTCTAATCTGCCATTGAAGTCAACTGAATTCTAATTAGGGACTAACTGTTTCAATTCACCGAGGGCCCATCTGATGGGTCATTACCAGCCTAGTTATCCTCATATAAACCAACTGCAGCAAGCAACACAGGTCCCATTTGCAGAGCAGCTGTAGAGCCTTTACGACCATCGTGTGGGCCATTTTCATGCATCATGAAACGACAATGTTTCCATTCCCGGAAAATCACAGAGGTATTCTGCTGACTCACTGATGAGTATATTATACCTTCCAGAGGAGGTCTGCTTAATTTTACTAAAAATTAAGGTTTTAAAATTGTAAAAATTAAAAAAAAAATAAGTGGAGAGGAAGGAGCAAGGTAAATTAAAATAGTCTCTCTAAAGTATCAATAAGTCATATTTTTATACTTGATTAACAATGGACCAAACTAGTATGTGTGACGTGAAGGGAAATGCTTGTAGTAACAAACCCACACAAATCACCCGACCCAACAGTCCTCCTCAGCTCTACAATCACCCTTGTTTCCAGCAATAGAATCTGATAAACGCACTGTACACTAGCTGCTCAGCCCCAAATGGCAGACAGACAAAGTTAGCGACTATCTTTGTGAAGCAAAGGGCTATAGAGTTCAAATTAGCCACACAAAAGGTTCCTTTCCTAAAATACAGCTCACGTTTTCTTATGACCAGTCATCTAGAAGAACTCTGAAATTACGGCGATTTCACTTAAAGAGCCCTTAAATCATCATAATGAGCAATAAAACTTGAAATTGACTTCGTCTCCAGTCACAGGTAAATCACATGAATCACATGTCTTTTCTCTTCAGGGAGACCAGTAGAGCTGCCTGTTTCTATAGCTAATGGTAAAGTACCTGAACATGATGGATATTTGAGTTTTTGACATCAAGGAGACATAATTCTCATATTCGGGGTTCATGCTTGTATTTTGTTTTTTTTACTCGAACATGTTTAAATGCTTTAATGTTCAAAAATACGTGTGTTATCAGACTGTCTAGCTGAATATACCCGTCTGAAATGCTTAAAAATAGGGTGCACCTTTGCAAAAGGAAGTTCTCAAGCCGTGGATGGAGATGCTCATATGGGGTTGAGGAATATTCGAATGAGCGTGCATATGGCATAGAAAGGGGAGCCAACTCTAAAAGGCTCGTTGAAGGACATGTTTTCTGATTTTAGGCAGCCCACAAAACACTGACTGGGTTATCTTATTTCACAGTTTGTGGGTTGGTGGGCACTCCAGATACCCAATTGCATGTGCACAAGCACTGGAAAAGTGAGTTTTTCACGATATGTCCTTGTTAAATCCTGCTTCACATAAGGCTCTACTGTAGTTGTTTTTCATCAGACAATAAAAACTTCATTTGTACATTTCTATATTGTCCATGTGTTGTATCCTTGCTAACTTTTCTCTGCTGTCTTATGGCCTCTGTCCAATATGGCAATTGGAAGTGTGTGTTTGAATTGTGGCTGGAGATATCTGTAAGTGTAATACACCTTGGAAAAGTGGATTGATTACAATGAGAAACCTTGTGTAACTAAGTTAACTTACTGAAGTTAAGTGAAAACATTTCAAAAAGTCATAGTAATAAGAAAAGAAAATATCTATGTTGTTATTTATTAAACTGACAAGTGTTTTAAAACCAAAGAAAAATGGAACAAAAGTAAGTTCAGCCTTCCAGAATTGATGCGCTACCTGACCCAGTAATTGTAATATCATGTTATGGGTTATTAGATGTCTGTGGAATCTTGATGTGTGTCTGTAATAAAAAATGCAGATAGACATGCATTAAAACTCTTCTCTTCACCTCGGCTCACAGGAGGAAATCTCAGCCTTCTGTCCTTGTCAAGTTAGGGTTATAATAAGTAATTTAGGAGAGTAGAGTTCAGCATCTGCTCAGGCTACTCCTTTTTTTTTTTTCCTGATTCAGACTTATTTTAGAAACAGAATTTTGTGCTGGGTTGAACTTACTCTGTCTGGGCCACCGAAACGCTTTGGCTGCTCTGTGTCTAAAAGTGCAAATTGTGCAAGACGTAGGCTAAAGAAAAGGAGGTATGAAGCTTCTTTTCTTTGCATTTCAAAGTTTTAATCAGTAATATAATATGTCAATTCACTTAATTAAGAATCCTCCTTATCAAAATGCATTCATAGGCCCAATACCAATGTTGACACTCACAGACTCACAGACTTGGAAGTATGTTTCTGCAAAGTCCGTGAAGGTTTAAGGGCTGTCCCGCTGTCAACTGTCACAGACATTTTGAGCCTTTTATGCACACTTTCGTCCACATATTTCAAGACTTTGCATGAGGGAATTACCCACAAGTCATTTATTTGTGACGTTAAACACATTGTTACCAGGGGAAACCCGGAGGTTTTTAAAAGAAAATAACATAAAGAGGACTGCGCATTAATGTTCAGCATTTTAAATTACACAGAAACACCACCTTAACATTAAGGATTAAAATGTACATACCATGTTTTGGCCTCGTAAAGTGCTCTCCCACTCGCATTAATAAATAACTTTGAGCCCTTGCAGCCTCTCACACTAAGGCATTTACCAAGTAGCATCTGTTAAGCCCCTGAAGGTTCAGTGCTTAAGGCCTTTGGGGGGGACATTGGGATCTGGCCATTGACTTCCATTCGTGTTTAGACTGCGGCCGTTAACTTTTCCGTTCAGCTGATGGTGCCTTCTAAAATCATAATAAGCAGCATTTGTGATGACCCTTTGTGGAAATGGGCCCATCAGAACAACTCAAAGAAGGGGCAACTTTTACACAAAAGACAGAAAACATAGGTTTGTCTATACCAGGGATGGTGCCATGTACTACGGAGAAGCCACATTCTGTAGGCTTTCATCCCAGCTGATCACCTCAGCAGGGGATTTCACTGATGAGCTCTTCCCCTCTACTTGAAGTAGTGCTAATCAGTGTGTGGTGTCTTTGTAGGGAATGAAAACCTACAAACTGTTGGCACTCAATAGCACATGGTTTACCACCCCCAGTTAATACCGATGATCTGTGATCAATGCTGTGAATTCTATCAATCCATCCATAACATCCGTCAATATTGATCTGGCTCTATCCAATGCTGAGGACTACAGGCATTCAAATGGATTACAAATGTATAAAAAGTGACAATCTACAAACTGAAGCTGCTTTGAAAGACTAAAGCACCCAAACAATATGATAGTGCAATCAGACTTGATTTATTTCGAAGGGAAATTAGTAAGAAATATAAGTGGGTCTTACCTGCCCTGCACTTTGATGTCAGATATGGCGTAGAAGTATCTGGAGAGGTTATTCTCATCCACCATGGTGGCTCCAGTGGCTGGCTTCAGCAGCTTAATCCTCAGATCAGTGATGGTGAAGAAGTCCCTCAGGTTCTTGGTGGTATCCAGCTGGCCGTACAGCGAAGCCATGTTGTGTAGCCGAGGCCCGGCAAACAGGGCAAAGCGGTCCTTTATCTCAAAACGTACCGTCTTGTCGTTCTTCCACACATAGCCTCGGGAGTAGTCCTCAGTGCAGATGATATCCAGCAGGGTGCGCTGGGTGAGGTCGTTGGCTGTCTTGGGTTCCATGGTGAATGCGTCCAGGCAGTCGGTGGCATAGAACTGGTACGGGGTCCAGGTCCTGCCGTAGTCGAGTGACTTTTCCAGGACCATCTGCTCCGGTCGGCCTGACTCAAAGGTCAGTACGATGTCATCAGTCAGCTCGATGGTTTTGTTCCACGACAGTGTGATGTTAACCTGGAGGGGCTTTGGGTATTTCTTCCATGAGCTGGACTGCCAAAACGTTGTGGGGTTGCGGCCCTCAAAGTCAAACATCAACTCTGGAGGATGAGCCAGCTCCTCAGTGGCGGAGTCACATTCATTGTTGCACATATAAGGATTCTCCTTTAAAGAAAACAGATAGATGCACACATGTAAGTGAACATTGCAGTCAGGGTATACAAATATCTATGTAATATGTAGTATGGTGCAATTCTTAAATATGATATTGTTACAATTTTTAAATAATAACTTGAGTGAGTTTTTACAAAATACAGTATTTTCAAAGTGCAATGGCCAAGATTAAAGAGTAAGTACTTTACATTTGGGGTTGAATTCAGTGACACTAGCCCATTTATGAAGAGAGATGTGCACCCGGTGAAGTTATTTTAAAGTTCTCTGGGTGCCTCATTTTGAATTATTACTCAAAACATATGTCTTCATAATATTGAAATGCATTACTTGTTGAACTCTGGCAGTGATTCAGTGCTGTTAGACTGCTTGACTTTACTGTTGACTCCTTTTGTTTGTATCAGAGAGCAGCTCCTCCTGCTAGCTGAGGAGTAGGTAAATCTACTGCAAACTAACTACTGAAAGTCTCATTAATGGTGGTGAAAAAAAGATTTAGAAATCAAAGCCCACGCTGACAATATCTGAACTAATAACTGTTTTATTGTTGTGCAGGAACAGTTTTGTCCAGTAAAAATGACAAATGACGAAAGAAAAAAAGGTACAAACTGCACTCTGTAGTTTGAGGAAGGGAACTTAAGCAACTGAAAAGTTGAAAAGGGTAGTTACATATTTAGTTTTGCATAAAATATTCGCAGGAAAAGTGGAATCCTAGAACACTTGTTAGTTATGAAGCTGCTTGCTGTAATAGTCTCACCCTAACGACTACAAACCCGAAAACATCTCCCAGGTCAGCTGTACACTTTGCCTCGAAAGATTATTTGCTTTTCCAGTGCCTCTTTGTATTTTATAATCTGCGCAAGCAATGTTGGCTCTAGAGTAGCAGGAGACTGTGACCCTCTTGTTATGATGACACTGTGGATCCCATATTCTCGTTCAGCGCCATTCCAGCCTGCACTGCCACCCAAATTGCCAGTGTAATTGATATTCCAGTGTGGTGTTTCAGCTGAGATGGGAATGGAATCCCGATGAGTGTTTCTTATGAAACACGCAAAAGGACATGCATTTTTCATGGGCCTGTGTCTGCTCTATACACATCCACCGAGTCTGGATGTTTTTGTGAGTGTTAGTGGGGAGAAAGAGGAGCTCTTGATGCGTTTGTGTTTGTTTGTTAGAGGGTTACAGAGCTCTGAATGTGTTTGCTTGTGTGTGCACATGCTGTATATATCCCTGTGTGAGTGAATGGAGAGAGAGAGAGAGAGCTGAAACGGAGCCAGAGAGCACAAGACACATTCCAATTGACATTCCTCTCACCTCTGCTCCAGGAACAATGAGGTTAAGTGCAGATGAGATTCAGATCAACTGTAAAGCGGTTCGATAATCAGCAATCATCCGACACTCTACACGCGGAATTATCTAAAGGTGAGAAGAGTGCTATCTGCAACATTACTCGCTTATCTCTCCGGTATTGCAGTGCATTCAACGGAGACTGCCACTTTTGTCGGGTGAAGATCACTGGCAGGAATACTGATAAGCAGATGCCATTATATTTTATTTGAAAAGACCAAGGGGCGCTTTTTTGTCACCCAGCAAAAAATGTTTTTGATGTTTTATCTTCTTCACAGTTAGATGTTTGTATGACTTCCCTGTTTTTAGATACAGATCTTCTCGGCCCATTATATTTCCTGTGAGACTGTGATATGCTATCGGCTCCGCAGCTACAGTAGAAGCGATAGCTACGGGTTGAAGTAGAACAAGACTGAGGGATTGTGGGTCACTAGACCTGCTCAGATGACTTAAAGGAGCGTTGCATGATCCAATTAGGAGGGTAATAAGTGTTATGTGGCTGAGACGGAGTGAGAGCATAAGAGGGAGTGGGAGGTAGAGAGAATATAAAACAAGTCCACCGTTTGTGGTTCTTTGAAGGAAGATCTCAGGCTCTAACAGTATTCTTCTCTCACACCCATGCACACCCACACACGAGCAAAGCCAACATGAAGCTTGAAAGCAGAAAGTCAGAAAGAAAGATCTGAAAGAGAGAGTTAAGGGGTTATAGAAAGAACGCTGGCTGCCTGAGTTTGACCACAGGGACAATAAATTGCATGAAGTCTTTCACTCTAAGAAATTAGGGTTCCAAAGAGCCCCCCCCCCCAAAAAACTGTGATTGTAAACCATGATTGTTGTTGTGGGTTGCACTGCACCACATCACCCTTTGAATATAAAAGGGTTATCAGCAGAACCAAAAGAAAAAGGGGGGGAGGGGGGTCTAGATGATACCATTATAAAAGCAAAACTAATAAGGGTTCTCCTATGAGAACATGCCAAAAAACCTATATGGTTCTAGTGTGCAAATTTATTTCTTAGTGTACCAGTGTCGGCTGTTTGCCAATGATGTGTGATGAGGCTTTTTTCATATTCCCCACTTGTGCTTGGACAGCCTGGAGGTCTGCTCAGAGCCCAGACCTTGACGGTACACGGTGAGCGAGTGCGGGATGGAGACACAGACCGTGTAAGAGAGAGCGAATTCGCTGTTGTCATTCAAGAGCATGAATATCACTTATTTTTCTTTCATTTGTTGTCCCGGTTAGGTTTGAGGCTGCAGCGGGGGGGCTGCCTTGCATCTTTCGAAATGGGAGCCTTATTTACAGACGACATAAAGAACCCAGATCGAAGCGTCCGAAGCTGTTGTAAAAAAAACAATTTCCTGCCTAAACGGTGAGAAGCACAGTAAATAGAAGTTTTTAAAAAGAGACAAATTTGCTTCATCACGCCAGCTGAAGAAGTGTTCAGAGACCAGTTTCAATCAAGTCATAAATTCAATCCCTAATCATTCTTTCATTGCCTGCCTCGCCTTCAGAAGGAGCATCACCCGAGCCAGGGGGGTCCTAGCTGGCTGAGAAAGGAGGAGCCAGCTGGATTTAGCCAATAGGAACTACAGACATTATGGGATGTTTTTTGAACTATGTAAGGCGGGAGAGAAAGAACTTCCGTTCTCTTGCTCCTGTTCCACGGTGTGGTGATACCGTTTTTGGGGTGAGCGGGTCATATTCTATGTAACTGTAAATAATGTACTTCACTATGCAACTGTTTTAGCATCAGAAGTATTAAATGCTTTTGTTCATAATTGAAACCGGCTGACTCTTTGGAAAGGCTGGTCTCCCACAGAAGAAGAGGCTCTCGAACTCAACACCATCATTAAAAAGCTCAATAATGATCTAACTTTAAGTGACATGTACAGTATTTACTTTCATCCAAAAAAGACCACCGTACTGGAATGCCTTCAAACAGCCCAGTGAAGGTGGAATGATAGAGACCGAGCAAAGGTTAGGACCTCTCATTGGATTTCTTGTGGTGGTTATTTAACAACAAAAACAGTGCCTTATGAAGATCAATACCTTCTGTGGTCATTTAAGACCCAGGGCTTCAGTATTCTCCCGCAGGGCAGCTATTTAAAAACTCTCAGCTTGATCCTTTACCTGTGATCATGGCTGTAGCAGAGGGAAATAGTCTGCAGAGAATTAGAAATACAGTTTTGTACCAAAATGAGATATCGACCCATTGAAAAAGTTGGCCAGCCCTTACAATATAATTGCTACCATGAAAGTAGAATTTAGCATAGATTATATTTGAAGTTAAAGGTTATATTGTAATTTAAATGTAATATGTTGATTATGTAATTTGAATATTTAGAGATTTTAAGATTTATTTAATGTTTGAAATATTGTAAATCTGTGTTTTTATGAAAGCAGATTGCTGATGTTACTCATACATTTTGTTATAATTACTCATGCTAGTACCATATTACAGAATAACTACACTTATCTAACTGTATGATAGTACATGTATGGCATATGATTATTATGTCATGTAACTATATTTAGTTATTATTTTATCTCATATACATCATATAAAATATGTTGCGTATTAAATGGGCTCATCTCCAATGCACATGAATACAGACCCGTTATGTTGTTATGAGGAGTCCCACACAGGGGGGCTCTCTAAAGTCTAAGAAAATAACCCTGATGTCATGCTGATGTCGTGAGCTACACATTTATAACAAAGTCTATGTTACAAACTGGGATCATATGATCTATCTTTCACTGTATAACATGTGTCACCTCGTCAATATTTTTGTTTCAACACCACACAAGGTGTTTTTACGCTACATATTCCACCTATAATCATTTTTATTCTGATCTTGGTTTTTAAGATTAAAGGAGCTCCATTAGGTCATGTCATATCAGTCAAATAGTCTCCTTAGTCTACACCTATTGACATTACATACAGTGCTGCACGGGCTTCTAATGGCCTGTCTCTTCTTGGTATTGCTGACATCTCTATTGCCACCATGGCTGCTGCGTAACGTAGCCCAGCTGGTTTCTATCTGTGCTACATTATCTGTCCGGGGGCAGAGGCTTAGTGCAAGGACGCCTGAGCAGCAAGTCTGTGGCAGGTCACATCTAATGATGTCGTGATCTCTGCAGCCTATAAGGTCAATCCAATATCAGGGTGTCACACAAGAACAAGGAACAAGAGAGAGGGAGAGACGGAGACTTGAGCTGGGAACGCGCATCCAAATGTCATTCACCGGAATATAAAGCATGCAGGACATTCCGGTCTTCAGGTTGTCACAAAGGCTCAGTGGATGTTTAGATATAATTACACGGTTATATTATTGAGATATTGACACAAAAATGTCCTGAAAGTACAGCAATTGATGTTTTCTTTCCTAAATGGGCTGCACTGACGGCACAGACAACCTCCAAGTTTGTGCGTATATACACATCATACAAAAACCCCATGCAAGCGCTAAACACACACGCACACGGTGAGGTGAAGCAGATGTTTAAATGAGTGACATATGGCCTGTGAGATTGACAAAGCTCAACCTCTCGTTGATGTGCCTTTTTGACACAAGATGTGGCTCGGCAGATAAATGATCTGGCCGACGACCGCTCCAGTTGAAGGATGTGTGCAGACAATCCAACCAATCA